CCCCAAAACCCCAAAACCCCAAAACCCCATAAGTTGAGTATTCTTTTAGTCTGGTTAGAATAATAATGCGAAACTATTTTCTTGGCATGGCTTTAAAATAATTAAAATATAATTTTATTAAAGTAATGATCGAGGATAACGACCCTTTAAAAGGTACTCATTGCTTTGCAATTAGATACTAATGATATTTTTCTTTAGATAAGTCCTTAACTGGAAACATATCTTTAAATGCAAGCTAGCCTGCTATGAATAACAATGCATCAAAATACTTTAACGAGTAGCTAGTAGCTCACAAGCGGAAGAAGATCATCGACGATTAAAAAGCAAATGACAATGATGATACTTTAAGTAAGAGAGCCAGTAATAGATCTAAATCAAGGTTAGTAAATTTCAAAAATATCAGAATCTAGAATTTAAAAATTCTATTACATAAACTTCAATATATTTCTTCTATAGAACTGTAAGGAGAAACCTAAATTCATAAGGTAGCAAGAGATCCAAAAACTCAAGCTATGATGAAATCAATGCAAGTAGGGAAGAATTAATAATTGCAAAGCAGATAAGACAATCAGAAGAAACACATCAAGAAATCCAAAAGAACCTGCTTAGTGATTTTAACACCAGAAACGTTGCCATTATGGAGGAGGAAAGAGAGGATACAACAATTAATCAGCTTTAAACTAGATTCAGAGATGTATAAGTGCAATAGCAAGCTGATATCATTACAAACAAGATGCCTGAAGTCTTGACTCAATCATGGGAGAAAGCTATCAGATCATCAACTAAATAATTTGTCCAACATCTTATTGAAATTAACAATTAGCAACCAAATATTGTTAAGAATGAAAAATTCAAGAGAGGAGCTACTAGATTCATTGCTAAAAGATATTCAACAGAGTAAAGTGAAGAAGCTGAATAAGTTCCCTTCGAACTGACTTAATCCTGGGAAGAATCGATTCTCTAGGCCACTCATGAATTCGTTTAAGAACTATTATAGAGGCATTTAAACTAATCTCAACAAAGTGTGTCCGCTTTCTAAAGAGGAAATACAGTGTTTATCAGCAAGCAGAAATCTAAACAGTAACTGAGCCAAGGCTCTATTAATACTATCAGTGAGGAATAAGAAGAAAACACTTCTGTTGTTAATTTGGAAGAACAGGTACTAGATGAGGTGATGGCGGTTGCAAATCTTGGTTTAGATGAAGGGAATGAGTAACAGCTGATGGAAAGCATAGTAGCTAAATTAGAGCAGATTATAATTGGGAATGAAATAGTTTGGAATTCCAATGACATAGAATTGGAATTACAGAACAATCTCATAGAAGTATCTTATGATAAAATCGAGAGCACAATCATTAATGATCATTTGAAAGCTCAAACTCAAATAATAAACAAGGAATTCGAATAGAAATTCAGCAATTTTATCATTGAAGATCTGATGGATTAAACTATAGAATAGGAGTTCGATGAGTAAGTAACAGTAGTTGAATAAAAGATTCAAGAATTAGTAGACTAATATGAATAGAGGAAAAAAATAAGTGAAGACTAGAAAAGAATAGAAGAGGAAAAAAAGAAACTGCTTGAAGACCAATTAAAAATTTAAGAATAGATGGCCTAGATAGAATAAGAGTAGCTCAAAATTCAGTAAGAGAGGTAGAAATTCCTAGAGGAACAGGAATAGATAGAGTTGTAGAGATAATTAAAGCTACAGGAAGATCAGAGAGTTTTTTAGCAAATGTAAAAAGACTTGGAGGATAAGAAGCTATCACTTCTGAAGTTAAAAAGCTACAAAAAAAGCCAAATATCTTTCCTTAATGAGGATGTTTCAGACTACAAATCCAAAAGTATTTTAGAGGAAGTGTCGATGAATGAAGATCTGCCTAATGAGAAGTCAGTAATATCATAAAAGTATGAGTCTGACTTTATTCCTGGGAATACTGATAACTCCCAAGCTAATCTCATAGTAATCAACAATAAGATCTCCAAAAAAGAGTTCAGTATGGCTTTGGTAAATGAAAGTTAAACTTAATAGATTTACAAAAGCGATGAAGATGAGTAACTAGATGCTACAGCTACATTTCAAGATAAAAATATTTTACTTGAAGAAGCACTAGTAGAGTCATCATTAATTACTTTAGAATAAAGATTGTTTAAAGAACTTTATAAGTTCTTTATTGAGCATTTGAAGTAGGATATGTATGATAAATTTATAGATTCAATGGTAGACAAAACTCTTAATATAGTATTACCAATCACTGTACAAGAAGAAGCTATGCAGCTTGAAAATAAATTCATAAACTATCTCTCAGATAAAGCTGTCAATTAATGTGAGAGTTAAGTGGTAAGTAGCTTAGCTGAAATGTGCTAGTAAAATGAATCAAATTTGGCTGACTAGCAAATTACCTTTCAATAATTATAAAATTCTCAAAAATAAGAAAAGGTAGTAAGTAAAGGTACTTTATAGAAAGTTAAGGTTATCAAGAAAGCTAAGATTAAAAAGATTAGCAACTTTAACTAAACAATGAACAATTTAAATCTTGATTAAGTGAACCAAGAGCCTTAACCTTCTCAATGGTAAAGAGTTAAGACTTAGGAAATGAGTTCACGCCCAATATCGATAAAGGATATGAAGATCCAAGATCTGTTAGATATTGAATTCTTTGAAAAGTGCTTTTTCGGCAAAAAATTACTAATTAAAGATCAAGTAGTTTTTAGAATATATGCTAATGAGCTGCTTGAACTCATAAAATCGAATCTCAATAAAGATCTAAGAAGGAAGTACAAGTAGTTTAAGGAATAGAGAAGAAATATGAAGATAAATCGCTATAATCCTATTTATGATATTGGACAAGTGACAAACAGAAGCGAGAGGAAAAAGATAAAGTCTAGGTCTCCAATTAGGGAATTTGATCCAAGTGTTGAGCTAGAGGGTTATAAGATGATTGCAAATTTTAGATAAACTCTCACACCTGAGCCTGAAAGGTAAAGGTAAATTGATTATAATGACAGCACAGAGAAGACTATTCTAAACATTAACTTACCAGAAAATATAAATATAAAAGGATAGAAAACCAGAAAGAAAAAATCTAAGGGATAATCTTTAGATGATAGTAAAGGAGAAGGCATTATACCTATAATAAATTTTTAACCGAATCCAGATGACACTTAGTTCTAGCATTCTTCAGATACTGCCAATTTTAATCCTATGGAGATAAAGAATGGAAACTAAAGTGTACCTGAGTAATCAATATTCTAGAATTAAGCTTTAAACCTAGCTCCTCAGCCATCAGAAGATTAATAATAAACTGATGAGTACAGTAAGACAATTAAGATTCGAAGAAAGAAATAGCCATCTTAAGTTAAGATTAGCCAATAAGAAGTTACAGATCACAAAGGAAGAAGCATATCTAGAGGAACTTATCGAATTGGAGGCTAGCTCAGTCCTCCAAAGAACTTATAACTAAAAGTATATCAAAATCTAGAGACTTCTATCAAGGATATTTTAAGGCAAAAGAATTCAGCAATTAAGCAAATTAGAGCTAAAAGAAGAATCATTAATCATTCAGAGAGAGTTACACCTACAATGTCTCCAACCAATAGTAATCACGACTACTCTAAGTAGATGTCTAATTACAGAAACTAGCTAGCACCGGGAACAGCAGAGTAAGATATGAGTACTCCAGTCTCTTTCGACAATTCCTAGCATTTCTAAAACTCAGAGAACTTCCAAAACATGATATCAAATTAAAAGCTCACAGCTGAAGAATCCCAAGGAATGAGATAGAGAATTGAGAAAAACCAAATGTAATAGCGAAGATCATCCACACCTTAAATGGAGTTGGATGTTTCTGAAGATTATAGAAAATACAAACAGTAAAATGAACTTGACATTATAGCTATTAGTAATCCTAAAAAGCGCATTGGTGAGATAATAGAGAAAGCTAGGCATTTTGTTAGGATCGGCGACGAGTCAGATAAACCCTAATATGTGTGTAAAGCTGAAGGCAGAGTAAAGGATCATAATAATATTAATAAGAAACAGCAGAGCAACTTAAGACCCTCTAGCCATATGCGCACCTAGGACAATAGACCACTTGAACTGGCTAAGATAGATCCATTTATTTAGGAGTTTATCAAGGACAAGAGGATCTCGCATATTATAGGAGCTGGAAAACAGTATTAAAATGGAAGGAGTAAAAGCAAAAAGCGCAGACAGATCGAGGAACTTAAAGCTATGAATAAAACCGCAATGACTATGACTGTTCAAAATTCTCCAGTTAGCACAATAATGAATCACAAAAATTTAAGCAATAGCTTTGGAATGTATAATGATAATAGCTATGCCAATAGTCAGATTGGCTACAACAATAATATGGCAAACTATGAGGAAATTAAGAAAAATCTCAAAGGCAGAAGAGTAATAGTTTCAATGCATGAAAAATAAAAATAAGAATGAAAATATTAACTATTCCTATTTATGATAAATCAATACCGACTTTAATTTTTATTACATAAATTTTATTGCTTTTAATACATATCTACTTTCTTGGGGTTTTGGGGTTTTGGGG